GTCAGTGGGGGAGGGGGAGGGTGGGAATCTTGGATAGGCTTCCCCTCTTCCTGGATCTCCACTCACAAATCATTTCCTGAAAACCCTAATGCATGCCAGTGGTAAGAGACAGCTTCCTGTCACCATGCTGAGCCAGCCCCCCATCAGAGAGATGAGAGAAAGATGTAGTTGGAGAAGGGACATCTGGCTACTCAGCATCCATGTATGTGGTCTCTTCTCTGGGAAGATGACAACAGCTTTTGTCCTGAGCACAGAGTCAGAATCCCCCTGCCTGGACACATGGGCATATTCAGCCTTCTCTTGGGGACAGTGGAGAGCTTTTGAAAGCAATGCTTTGTCCCTGTTGGTAAAATTGTACAGATGGTGATGAAACATGATCCCTTTGCTTCTAGAAGTAGGAACAAACCTTCCTGGTCCACATCCGTACCTCATTCAGGGAAAAGATTATTTAGCTAGAACTAGCCCAGAATTTCTTGATTTAAACTGTCATGCTCCTGCCCTGTGTTTAGCTTACCGTATAGCTCTTCAGTGCATCCAAGTGGGCATAGTTGCCTTGATCATGATAGAAGCTCAGGGCCACCATCATCATCACCATCATCATCACCATCATCATCAAATTGCACTTGATATCTAAGTTCCAGGCAACGGTTTGGTTTCATGTTTTCATCTCAGAGAGCCAGAACAGCAAAGTGCTTAAAGAGTCTGGCTCACAAACTCAAGGCTGAAATCCAGCTCCAACAGTGTTGTGGTCCCTTACAAGTGTCTACCAAATGGGAATGAACGGGTAGGAATCCCTGCCTCTCAGGTGTGCTGTTAAGGTGAAAACACAGCATAACCTAGCGTTGAAGTGGGTGGGGAGTAAACTTGTTGGCTTTTTCAGGTTTTGCAGCAGCAATCCAGGATGTGGTGGAGGCAGGAAGGTGAGGGGGGCTTAGGAAGTCAGACCATGTACATACGTTTCTGAAGTTTTTTCAGAAACTTGTGGTTTAGGGTATCGGTTCTAGGCTTGTTCTCAAGTCAGGATTGCCTGGGGGTGGGGAGGAAGTGTAGTTAGAACAAAAGGTTATGCCCAGCCTCAGTTTCTCTCTCTCTCTCTCTCTCTCTCTCTCTCTCTCTCTCTCTCTCTCTTTCTTTTTTTTAGTATAGAATAGAGTTTATTCAGGGCATGGGGGAGGGGAGTTAAGAGAATGGTAGAGGCAGAGAGAGAAGGAGCAAGAGAAAAGATAGAAAGAAAGATAAGATAGATAGATGATAGATAGATATGATAGATAGATAGATAGATGATAGATAGATAGAGGGAGAGAGAGGGAGAGAGGGAGAGAAGAGAAGTAGAGGTCAGCCATGAGCATGTGGAAAGAGGAGGAAGGGAAGGGGAGGGACAAGGGGACAGAGGGATCAAGAGGGAGCAAGAGTGCAAGAAACTCAGTTTCTGTTTTTTTGATGCGGTAGGTCTGAGGTGTGGCCCCCTATTTTGCACTTTGCGTGTGGAGTATGCTTGGGTACCTATTCAGGTTGTAGCCTGAGGTCAACCTGAGGTCAACGGTTGTTCTCCGTTGGTCCCCGCCTTATGCTTTGAAACAGGACTTCTCACAGAGTCTGTAGCTCACTGATTTCTATTAGACTGGCTGGTCCACACCCACAAATTCTAGGGATCCTCCCTTCTCTGCCTCCCTAGCACTGAGGTTAGCAGACCTGTGCTGCTTTCTATGTCTGGCTTTTTCACTTGATAGCTGGGAATCAGGTTCTTGCTCTTACACATGGAGCCTATTATTGCCTAATATTCTCTCTCTCTCTCTCTCTCTCTCTCTCTCTCTCTCTCTCTCTCTCCTCTCTCCATCCCTCTCTCTCTCTCTGTTTCTCTGTCTCTCCCTCTATCTCTCCCCCCCGCCCCGGCCACCCGTCTCTCCCTGGGATTTTGAGACAAGGTTTCTCTGTGTAGTCCTGGCTGTTTTGGAACTCACTCTGTAGACCAGGCTGGCCTTGACCTCACAGAGATCCACATGCCTCTGGCTCCTGAGTACTGGGACTAAAGGCATGTGTTACCACAGCCTGGCTTAGATTCATATACTATGAACAGGTACTGGACGCAGAGAGGTCATTTTTAATTCAGGGTGAGAACTTTAGCTACAGAGGACACGTAGTCAGAACTGGAGTGGGTAGTTTCAGGAGCTCCCCAATCTCTGGAAGTTTCTCTTGTTGAATGGCTACCTGGTAAGTTCTTATACTAGATAGGAGGTTCATTGGTTCATTAAGTCATTAATTCAGTCATCCACTTATTCAGGCTAAATGTGTATTGCTTGCTTTGGGAGTCAGGAAGAGCTTATAAAGACAACTGTGGCCCCTGTTTTCAAGGGAATATGGAGTCTGGTGAGAAATCTATTTGAGTTTTTCAAGCTTCTTTAAATGCTGAGGCTCCAAGAGTCCCATGCTGACAAAGGCAAGCCCCCAGATAAGCTGCAGAACTATCTTCTGAACACGTGTGCCCGAGAGTCTGAGAGTGTGTGGATACCTCAAAGGCTCTGTTTGGATTCCTCTCTTTGGCTCATCCCCCATCTTCCCCACTTTAGTTCATTTTAATGATGCCACCGGATAGGATAAGTGATCTCCCCCCTTCTTAAAACCCTGAATAAGCTTAAAGTGTATTTACCTCAAGTGCATTTCCTGTGGGAAAATTTACATCTCTTCACCGGCACCCACCCTACACCATTACGCTCTGACCTCTCCACCAGCCTCCGTTACTCAGTCTGTGAAAATGGCCCAGGAAATAGATCCTAGGAATGAGCTAACTGCTTTTCCTCTCCTCTCTTAAGTGATATATGGGTGAATTAATAGCCGAGGAGAGCTAGAGAGACACTGGTGAAATCCATTAATTTTTCTGGAGTCTTCCATCCTAAACCTTGTTAAAGCCACTGAGGAGCTAGGGCTGTGGCTCAGTTGCTAAGAAAATACTGCCCAGCACCCAAGAAGCCCTGGGCTCGACCCTTAGCACCCTATAAAACTGGGCATGTTGCCACACATCTGTACCTGTAATCCTGCATTCAGGCGGTGGGAATGGGAGGATTAGAAGTTCAGGGTCCATCCCAGACTATATAATGAGTTCATGGGCATTGTGGACTACATGAGACCCTGCTTCTAAAAGTTAGAGGAAAATAAAAGCGATGATGATGGTGATTAATTTCTTTCTACCCAGCTCCTCTCTACCATGGTTGGGGTTCAGCTTGCTCCCTGTATTATTAAATTGCCTGCTTCAGGAGGTATATTGGCCATGGGAAGAGGAAACTGAGGAGAGAGAAAGTAACCAGCTAGGGGCAGTAGAGGAAATACCAGTCAGAGCTGGAATCAAAGTCTTTCAGATCCCAGACCACTCCCTGAGCCCCTGGTGTGCTGGAGTACTTATTAATTCTCTCCCTAGTTAGCTATATCTTCCATTAAGTAAACTTGCTAGAAGACACAAGCAGGCATAACTGTGGGGCCTGTGGCCTTGGGAGACTTCCTGTTGAATTCCTGTGAATTCAGTCAGACCTATGAATGACTCGGCTCTGAATCTCTGGATGCTAAGAAGAGACTTGGCTTGGGGACACCTTCTGCAAGGTGACTGCTGACCCAATGTTTCTACGTGACTGTGTGTTCCTTTGGATCAGCTGGATTTTGTGTGTTTCTGGGTTTACTTATCCCTCTTGGGTGATTTCTCTTCAAGACTGAATGTTAATTCTTAAGGCATCTGCATCCTGGGACGGGAAGCGTCCAGCCAGACTTTGGAGCCATGTCCCTTCCTCTGGGAAATAATCACCTCTTCCCAAATCTAGTGTCTCTTCAGAGTCCTCTGATCCTCCGTTCTGGCTTCAGCCTGTGTTTTCTTCTGAAAAGCAGTTTTGAATTAGGCTTACTGTTTTGAAAATAAGTATTTAGTAGGTATTTTTATTGTTGCAGCAATATGTAACTTGCCTTGTGTACATCTGCCCTTCCCTGAGATAGCCACCACTGACAATGGCCTCCTCCCTTGCCAGTTGTTTTCAATACATGTACCTGAGGTACACTGATTAGCTTTTCATTAAAATCAACTTGAGAATATATATATTTCTGAAATATCCTGAACCTAATTACTTTTTGAATTTTTCACATTTATATATATGCATTTCTTTCTATTAGACTTGAGTTTCTGATGTTTTATTCCATTAAAAATCAGAAATAACTTTGCTCCCTGACCTTACCTTTCTGGAGATCAGTTCTGTTAGCTGAAACATCCGTTTGGTCCTTTTATTTCACATATTACTTTTGGAGAAATTCTAGGAAGCTCGTTCTGTATCTCCCAGCCTTCGGTGGGGGATCCTTAACCTCAGCTTCAAAGGGTCTGTGACAAGAGAGACACAGTGTCTACAGTAAGAAAAGAGAAAGGGAGTGTGTGGAATGGTGACAAGCAGAAGCAGCAGGTCTCGGGAGATCTGACCCACTGAAAGGAGAAGCAGGTGACGTCAGCAGCTCTGTGAGCAGTGACTATCCCTGCCATTTGTTCAGTTCTTACCATATCTATCACTCACTCTATTGACTAGGCCCAAAACATAGGCCAGGGCCAGGTATGTGAACCCTTGATTTACAACCCTACCAAAAACATCCAGCGGAGGTTATTCTCATAAAGAAAAACTGATGTGTCCATGCTAATAGCTAGCATATTCTATGTTGGAAGGACCAGTTGGATTTTATGATTAGGTTTTCAGACTCAGAGATATTGTAACTGTGTTTGCAGTTTCTGGATCTTTCTCAGGACCCAGAAAAAAAAAACAAACCAAGATGATTGATTTAGTATTGTCAACTCCATCTGGATGGAGTGACCAATGACAGATTTCCTCCTGGCTTTCTTTTTGTTTCTTAGTCCCTTAATGACCACCAGTTTCTTTTTGTCAGGGTAGCCTTTTCTCGTTCAGTTAAAGTAACTGAGTACCATCACCAGGAAGATAGAATCCATCAATAAAGGTTCAAATCTCTGCTCTTATTTTTTCCAGGCACCTTTTTGCTCCAGCCTACACAGAAACCTGCTACACCGCAAGTGGCAATCCTCAAACCAGCACGCTGAAATCTGAGGTGAGTCACGTAGACGTGTCCATCAGTAGCTGCCCTGGCTAGCTGGGAATAAATATGTGGCCTCTTCCCTGAAGGGCTGCTTCCCTTGACCAAGACCTAGGGCCCAAACAGAGGCAAACTCTGTTGTCTCATAGTTACTCCCTGTCCTTTTCTAGTGAAGATGGCAAAGCAGAGAGAGGTGGAATGTTTGAGGGTAATTTGATTAAAATTCATGTAAATCATTACAAAGTAGTTATTAGGCCTATGTTAACTACTCATATATTAAAAATCTTTGAAAGGATTAATTTACTCGTCATCCTGCCAACTCATCCAAGTAGATGTTGATTAATCTTTTTTTTTTAAATGTAGGGTTTTGTAGAGTTTTAATCACTGTGCATAGAAATTTATATTAACATACTATAATATATAATATTAACAAAATGATATAACAACAAAATTATATCATATATTTTAAATGCAATTTGGGTTTGTTGTTGTTTGTTTGTTGTGGTTTTTCAAGACAGTGTTTATCTGCATAGCCCTGCCTGTCCTGGAACTCACTCTAAAGCCAGGGCTGGCCTTGAACTCAGAGATCTGCATGCCTCTGCCTCCCAAGTGCTGGAATTAAAGACGTGTGCCACCACTACCAGGCCCTATCAAGCTTTTTAAAAATGTGCTGTTGTCTTAATACTGGACATTTCCCCTTCAAAGTTGTTTTTAGTTAGGAAAGTTTTGCATAGCATCAAAGAGTCGTCACTTTTGAAAATAGTTTTACATCTTAATTTATTTCAGCGTACCCTACAGGTGGACATTTAAGATAGTAAATCCTACTTATTGCATGAAGGGCTCTTCCCTTGAAGATTTTGTTGGAATTCACAGGCTCAGTGCAGAGAAGCCCTGGACCAGACCAAGGCTTCTGAGGCTGGGCTCTTGAGAGGTGTAGGAAGGAGAAGAGCAGGAGCTACATTGTGTTTTGGCTTCTGGTATGTGACATGGAGGACACCAGGAGACGCACCTCTGTTTGGGATTCCACTAATAGTAACTGGAACTACATCTCTGTGCAACCCGTTCTTCACATACCTCCGCCTGCGTGTGAATATCTAACAAGAGAGCAGCAGGCTAGCTTGTTAATCAGACGTCCTGGAATGGGAAGAGGATGGATCACTTGAGTTTGGAGTCAGCTAAGAAAATGGTGTGGCTCACAACCCCTTTGGCAAACCCCCATCTCCAAAAATACATTACAATTCATAACCGTAGCAAATTGAGAGCTATGAAGCAGCAATGTAAATAATTTTCTAGTTGGGTCACTAGAACCCAAGGAACTGTATTTTTTTATATTTATTTATTTATTTTTAAATTTATTTATTGTATGTAAATACACTGTAGCTGTCTTTAGACACCCCATAAGAGGGCATCAGATCTCATTATGAATGGTTGTGAGCCACCATGTGGTTGCTGGGTTTTGAACTCATGACCTCCGGAAGACTAGTCAGTGCTCTTAACCACTGAGCCATCTCACCAGCCCCCGAGGAACTGTATTAAAGGGTCACAGCATTAGGAAAGTTGAGAACCATGCTCTAAGAAGTCTACAGCAGAGTATATGGGTATGGGTACCAGGAGCGGGATGCTCTTTTGGGTTCTGGATGTGAAAATCAGTGGGACTTCTTCCTGAGACTTTCATGGGTAGGAAAGAAGTTGGAAGTGTAGCCAGTGAGTGACAGCAGCAGACACACTGGACTGGATCAGGGAAACTGTCCAGCTATGACCCACATCTCCATGCTTTTCACTTCTTAGAAAGCCTGTAGCCCATAGCCATTACAATTTCACAGAACCACCCTCCTCCGAGTTCAGCCCCTCCCACTTCCATACTGGCAACTCAAGAATGGGTCTCAGGGCACAAGTTAACGATGAGCTCATGCTTCCTGCCGTGAAAGCCCCCTAGGATGGCCCCCTCAGCCCGAGAAGCTGTGGAATGCAATGACTTCATGACTGATCCTGACTTGTTCTTTGTGCTCTAAGCTGTGCACCAGCAGAGATGTGTTAAGGGTCTTTCAGAGAAGAACTCTGGAAGAGGATGTCCCCTGGTCCCCTGAATTTCCCTCCTTCCTGAAGGCCTCACTGGCTGAAGCACATCCTTACTGAATCCTGGGCCAAGATCATTGTTTTCTTCCATCCACCACTGTTGGATTCTTGCAAAGTCCCCACCCAGGCCCAGGGGGCTCCCAGTCAGCCTTCTCGTTTGGAAACTAAGAAATCAAGGAGAATCAGGAGTGGAGTAAATCCTCTCAGTCTAAATGCTGAGGTTCAGACTCTGCCTCCAAACGGGTATTCTGGGAATCTTATCAAGACTCATTAGCTAGACCTGTAGGTTATAGCTCTAATCTAGGTCAGGTTACTGGGGGAACAGGTTTGGGACTGTGTTCCAACAGCAAGACTTACAAGGGTTGGGATCTGAAGCCAGGGCTGTGGTCTTGGCTCTCACTAGCTGGATGACCTTAATCAACCCTTTGGACCATACTGAGTTCTTTTTTTTTTCAATCTCAAAAATTAGATGTGCTGATCTAATGTCCATGCTAACAGTCAGTGCTGGGGAAGGATAAGAGGAGTCACTGATTTTTATGGGGATTCATAAATATAATTTCTAACTCCATAATTTACAGATGAGGGGATTGAGGAGGGAGAAGTAACTTGGCTACGCTTAAGTGGCAAGGCTCAGACTAGGGCTTGTCCCGTTGGTGGCTAGAGGGTAAAAAAGCTTTGGGAAGAGTCAGTCAGGTGCCAATTCTGCCTCGGTTTGGGATGGTAGGGGATGAGGTGCGGGGCCAAGTTGCTGGGGTTCACGTCGCTGTTTAACTGAGACACTCAAGCTCTTTATATCTGACCTTAGTCCAGAAGCTGAGAGCCTTTAAACTGCCTGTAGCTTCCCCTTTAAAACTGTGGGGGTAATATCTGCCTCATGAAGCTGTGGTCAGAATTGAAGTAAAAATTAGCAACTGTTGTCAAATAGTAACGACCTGAGTGTTAGTTGCTAAGAGTGAATGGCTTGTGCCCTGGTCACACGTGCTACTGCCCTTTGTAAATTAAAGAACACGTGACAGTTGTAGAGCCTTCCGTTGCAGAGAGCATGGGGGTGTGCACACTGCGGCGGTCATCAGTCAGAGAGCCGAAGAGGTCTAAGGCTTCTCCATAGCTACTTCTGGATCTAAGTTCTTGATACTTGAGAAGGAACCGCATTTTGAAACGGTTGTTGTACCTACATTTCTGAATGCTTGCCTGACTCTCAGTCATTCCACCGACTACGAAACCAGAAGGCCTGGCTTGGCCCCCTCATCTGGGGACAACTGGTTTTTCTCACTATCAGTGCACTGCACATGGGGTCTGTGGTCTCACTCCCGAGTTCTAAGGACCAGGTTCAGAACTTGGTTGTTGATGATCTGCCTCTAGTCTCCCTGGCCTGGGGACAGATGGAGAAACCACATGACAGGCTGACCTTTGTAAACAGTGGGCCCCTTGGCTAGAAGTTGGTCTGTACATGTGTTGCCTGCCTCCCTAGATTTGCTGGGAGGTAGTGAGACCCTTGGCAAGATGCTGGGCTGTGTTTGTGTCGCCTGCCTTCCTAGAAGCTGGGGGATCACCTCCTACCACAGACGGGTTTCCTTTATGTTCACGAAGCAAAGTCCTGAATCTGACTTGTTTTTAGCCCAGGAGACTTTGATGCCAAGAGGAGACTGCTGCTGCTTCCCCTCCTGGCTGTGTGTCAGTGTGAACAGGTAGATGACAAGTGCTGCTGGCCAATGGATCACTGGTAGATGAAAGGGTACCTGTGATTCAGAGAAGGAACCCAGGTTGAGGGAGGGCTTGTGTTGTATGGTTCAGAAGAACAAGCTTTAGAACAGAAATGGTAAAAGTTGTGGATCTGGGTCAGCCTTTTTGGTGGGCTTTTGTGTCCTCAGTGGCCATGTTTTATGTCTAGTGAAAGAATGTAATGAAAATATGGCCACTAATGTTTGCTGTCTACTTCTCTGGGCTAGAGAGCAGTCTAGCTAGCTCTTTTGTGTCCAGGTTTCTCATGGGCCCTCTGAGGTTGGAGGTTAAAGATGTGGAAGGCCAGAAAAGTCACGTACACTGTTGGCATATGTGGGAGCCTGGATTTAAGACTGGCCTGCCTGAGCCATAATGCTTCAGTTTACTTACCAGGCTGTATCCAGGACTAGAGATGGGAGAAAAGTGGACTACCCTTCCCCCACAATGGGTTTGCCTTCTGGATCCCCTCCAAAAGGAAACAGCACAGTCTGAAGATGAGATCCTTAGACTGTCTGTCATGCAGGGAAAGCTTGAGCATTTATGATGGCTGCTTAGCCTCAAGGTATTGAGGAAGTTCTTTAAAGAAACTGATTTTACTCCTAGTTTTTTTTTTTTTTTTGTTGTTGTTGTTGTTCATTTGTTTGTTTTTTGAGACAGAATTTCTCTGTATAGTCCTGGCTGTCCTGGAACTCACTCTATAGACAGGCTGGCTTCGAACTCAGAGGTCTGCTTGCCTCTGTCTCCAGAGTTCAGGGATTTAAGGCATGCACTACCATGCCCACCTTTCCTCCCAGTTTTACCCTCTGTACTGGCCAAGGAATCAATTCTGACCTCTTTGGGAAGAAAGCTTTAACCATCTGGGGAGTGGGCAGTTGACTTAGCACACAGACACTCCCAGATATACTATGCTTGTTTCCTAATTGCTTTGGTTAGCCTAGTGATCAAACTTTCCTGGTACCACAAAAATATTCGTAGCTATGTGCCTTTGACTTCTAGATCAATTGCTTTTCGTTATTGGGATAAAACATCTTGACTAGAAGCAACTTACAGAAGGAAGAGTTTATTTGGGTTTAAGGTTCCAGAGCAATAGTCCATAATGGTAGGAGAGTCACAGCAGCAGGCAGCCAGAGCAGGAGGCTGAGGGAGCTCATCTTCAGTTCCAATCATGAAGCATAGAAAGCAAACTACCGAGATGGACAAAGCTATGAAATCTCCAATCCTGTCCTCCAGTGACCTACTTCCTTTATCAAGGCTGTCCTGTCTACCTGAGTAGCATCACTGAGAACCACCAAGTGTTCAAACAACTGAGCCTGGGTTTGGACCAGCAGTTCTCATTCAAACCACTGCAGCTGCCTAATTATTAATGACTAGCTTTCACAAGGGACTGGAGCTATGTGTCCATTTTCTCATTGCATCTCTGAAGCCTTGCCCAGGGCCTGCTTATAGTGGTGCTTGGCAGTGTTTATAAAGATGGAGGGTTCTGGCTGAGTTTGGGGAACCACATGCCTGTGAGCCACTAGGATGAGAGAATACACCAGGCTTCATAGAGCTAGGGACCAGGGAGGAGGGTCCAGGTGGAGAGGGATCCAGGGAAGGAAGAGCATCTTGAGCTGAGTTTTATCTTGAGGCTGCCCTAACAAAGCACTGTGAACTTTGAAGTTAAGACAGGAGAAATAGATTCTCCATTTTGGAGGCTGAAAGTCCAAACCAAGTTGTTAGAAGAGCCACATGTACACTCTGTAAGCTCTCCAGGGGGGAGTCCACCCTCTTCTAACTCCTAAGTGCTCCTGGAAAGAGTCCTCCCTTTTCTAATTCCTCAGTGCTCCTTGGCTGTGTTTCATCATTCCAGGCTTTGCCTCTGTCTTCAGGTGACTTCTCCCCTTATGTCCTTTGTGTCCTGTCATCCAGGAAGCATACGGGCCATTTAGATTTATGACCTGCTCTAATCCACGAGGCCATATCTTACTTTAATTACATGATCAAAACCCATTTACAAATGAAGTCATATTCTAGCTTCTGGGTGATCATAAGATTTTCAGGAGGACACTATTCCACCTACTACAGGGAGTTACAGAGGTGCCATCATTGAGAGATTGGCTCTCTCAGAAGACTACTCCTGAGGCTGACATGTCAGATTTGAAAATCCTGGGTTCTCTAACCTAGCAGGAAGATCTTTGGCAAATCTTTTTGTCCCTGTGAGCCTCAGCACTTTTTGTCTGCTCAGTAGGGCTGGTGATGTCTGCCCTGTGTTATGTCTTGGGTTTCTATAAGAACCAAACAAAGTGGAAGCTAGGCAGCATTTTGCAGGTTGTCAGAGCTATAACGTCAGGGTTGAGATGGAACGAGTCCATCACCTGTCAACCAATGAGACATTAACATCGCCACATTTATCAGCGCCATTTGACCGAGTGCTTCCTTTCTGTTGGCTAGGATCACTGCTTTTACCATGGGACTGTGAGGCAAGTGGACGAGTCCAGTGTCACGCTCAGCACCTGCCGAGGAATTAGGTAAGAGATCCTGAAGTTGCTGGGGACAGATGGTACCCTCCCCTAATAAGATGAGCAGGGCTAGCCCAAGGCAAGGGCCTTGCAAAGAAGAGGCCAAGCTTGTGAGATACCAGGGAAGTCCCAGATAATGTACACATATACCTTTCCTGACAAATTCGTTGTATTAAGATATAAATTGCTGCTGGGTGGTGGTGGCTCACGCTTTTAATCCCAGGGCTCTTGAAGCAGAAGCAGGCTGATCTCTGAGTTCGAGGCCAGCCTAGCCTGGTCTACAGAGCAAGTTCTATCTAAGGACAGCAAGAGCTACACAAAGAGAAATCTTGAAAACAAACAAAGATAGGAGTTCTATTATTCAGGAATAAGGCCAACAAATCAAGAGACAACCATGACTGAAAGAGCTATCAGATGTGACTGGCAGGCTACAAGTCACAGTAAAAAGCCGTGTGCAAATCAAGAGAGGGAGAGCAGGAAAGCACAGAAGTGTGAAGAGGCAGGAAGCTGGGTCCATGTGGGCTAGCACAAGGAAGGAGTGAATGAGTTTGAAGGGCAGGCTGAGGAATAACTAGTGTGAATAGCTTCAGTAGTCTTGGGACACAAAGGCCCACCACGTCATCTGGTATCCATCACTATGGGTAGGTAAATAGTGGTCCAGGAGGGTGCGAAACCAAGGTGGGAGCCAGGTGGCTGGACCCTGGGCTGTGTGTTGGCTTGTACTAAAAGGCATAATAGCAAGCAAAATGTTTGCCATCTCTAGGGGTTGGGTAACCGTGAGGGGGCCATTCCTCCAGGGCCAGTGAACTCCTAGAAATGAAAGCAGTGACAGCAAACAGGTGACATGCCGGTAGACCCCAGGCTGAGTTTCAGCATTCTTCACTCTGTGGTAGAAGGACGTGTAGGTTGTGTAGCAGGAAAAGGGATGATGTGGGGAGAAAGGAGAGGATAACTGTCAAGACAGAATCAACCTGAAAGTTCCAACTAGATGATGCTTGGAAAAAGGGTGGCCCTTCTGTCTCTAAACCAACAAACAGCTGGTCTGAGCCAGGAGCACCGTGTACCTGATGGGAGGTGGAGGAAGGCATCAGATCCCTTAGAAGTAGAGTTATAGATGGTTGTAGGCCACCATGTGGATGCTGGCAGCCAAACCTGGGTCCCCTGCAAAAGCAGAGTCTTCCTAACTACCGAGCCTTCTTTTCTCTAGCCCCCCGCTGTTTATTTACTTACTTATTTGAAAAATCTGGGCTCTTATCTACACAAATTGCCTGGTGTTTGAGCACCTGCACTGCACGGCTCCTGACTCTAGGAATAACAACAGGGAAAGGAGTCTAGGGTGGCAGTTGTCAATACCGCCAGCTATATGCTGGGGGCAAGACTCCCACCACTGTTAACGGGAAGTTACACATTAGGTGTTCTCAAAGGCAGGACTGGGAATACATGTCCACTGTTGTCTCTCAGGAGCTGGTAGGAAGTGTCCTTTTCCTTTATTCGTGGCTGCGTCTCCCATTCGTCTTGGGTGTCTGCTGTATGCCCACACCCTACCTTGGTGGAAGATTAAACAAGCATTGTCCAGTTTGGAGCCTTCTGTATCTTAACAGGGCCATCAATGATAGGTATGGTGGAGACCATAATGAACTAATGAAACCCAAACCATTAGTTCTGCAGCTCTTTACGAGCATACAAGGTTTGCTCCCTCTACAACTTAGCTAGCTGACCTCATCCCACTCCCACCCCCAAATATAACCGAGGGTCCTTCTGACTGCAGATCCCGCGGGTCTGTTTATGCATTGGTTCCCATCTTTGAAAGGTTGTGTGGCGAGTGGCCTGAGGGAATTAGGCAGGAAATCGGGTTTGGCTGGGAGGTGATTAACAGTGGCCTCATATCCTTCACTCAAGTGGCCTCCTCCAGCCAAGCCAACTGGCTTCTCGGTGGTGTTTATAGGCTCAGCCATGGCCACCTGTGGCCAGCAAGTAAACAATGACTGTCCCAGGAAGGAGGAAAGGGAACAAGCAGGTGTGACCTTCTCCTCCCCGCCCCTTCCTTTCTCCCCTCTGGGTCTGGAGCAGTGGGAACACACTTGGCTTGGCCTCTTGTAAATCATTCCAGCAGTCAGGCTGACGGGGAAGCTCACCGAGCTGTCCATGTGTTTCTGGTTTGCATGCTTCCATCTGGTGAGGTCCACATGCTTTTCTTTCCCAGCCTCCTCCTTCCACATGCTAAGGAACAGAGGTTGTGGCCAGGCTGATTTAAGAGCTGGAGACCTACAGGATGGCTGCACTGGATCCCTGGAGCTGAGGCAGGAATGACAGTGGTGCTCATACTCAAATAGCTTCCCAAGGCCCATGAAGCCTCATATTTCCATGGAAGGTCTCCATGGTAACCGTTCATCTTTCCTGGTACTGTGTTTCTGTGCTTGGAGAAAATGGATAGGATTTATGCTAGGCCGGCTCTTCTGGCTGAACATGGAAGAGTCAGGAGAGCCCCTAGACCAGTAGTTCTCAACTTTCCTAATGCTGTCAACCTTTTAAATACAGTTCCTCATGTTGTGTGACCCCCCCCAACCATAAAATTACTTTGTGGCTACTTCATAATGGCAATTTTGCTACTGTTATGAATCCTAATGTAAATATATGTGTTTTCCAATGATCCTATGCGATCCTCCGTGAAAGGGCCGTTTTACATGCCCCCTTGTCCCCCAAGGAGTCCCTACCCACAGGTTGAGAATCATTGCTGTATCCCTTGTGAGGGTCTTTTCTCTCCAGGGTATGCTATAGATCAGTTTATCATTAAAGAAACAATCCTCAGTAAAATCAATCTAAATGTTAATAAACATGTAAGGGCACAATGAGAGACTTTCTCATCCCGTTTCCCAGATTTTACCTGATTTCCGGATGCAGCCATAAACTATCAGTTTCTTATGTCCCCCATACTCCTGGCAAAAGGAAACTCACTACATGACATAATGTCTTTAACTTTGGGGCCCTAACCACCTTGAGAATTGGTTTAATCAGTGACCGTGGATCTTAACAAAGATACAGCAAACCATTTATTTGTGTTAGTCAGCCAACTGGTGGCTAAATGCTTGAAGTAAACAACTCAAACAGGGAAGACTGGCTTTGGCTCAGGGTTTCAGAGGGTCCCAAGCCTCACTGCTGGCTCTGTCGATCTTGGATCTATAGTAAGGCAGAACATATATAAATGGTTTGTACCTCATTTATACAGTATGCTTCCATGGCTGCTAGCTTTCTTGGAGAATCTTCCCTGGTTGCTAGTGAGCATTGCCTAATTCTTTAGAGCAGTGCTCCTCAACATTCCCAATGCTGCAGCCCTGTAATTCAGTTCCTTATGTTGTGGTGACCCCCTCCTCAAGTTATTTAGTTATTACTTTATAAGTGTAATTTTGTTACAGTTATAGATCATAATGTAAAGATAGGATATGCAACCCTAAGGGGGTCAAACCCACAGTTGAGAACCACCGCTTTAGACTATTAATATGGCTGTTCTGTGGGAGGGCTGTGTCAGGAGACAGCAGAGCCAGGATTCTATTCCAGGATGTCTCCTTACTGAGCCTCTGTTCCAGTAGGAACTCAGCACCATGTGCCTTTCTTCTCTCTGGTCATAGGAAGGTCCCTATAACCAGTTAGGGTGGGCATAGGTTGGTGGGGATCTGGAACTCAGGGCTGCTACTTCTCAGGATCTCCCCTAATGTGGGGAAGGTAGATGCATAGCTGTGTGTCCCAGGGATGGCTTCCTTGGGAGTGGCACCTCTCTCAAGTCTTGAAGGAATGTAGGAATGTATTTGACTAATTTCTTCAGTTATTTATGGGTTAAGCATGAATGAACCTCTTGTTTCCTGGCGGGCTGGCTTGTCTGGGTTCCTCTATATGATTTTATTCTATGATTTATTTTTCTCATTCTCTTAATGATGAGGTTGGAGAGTAGCATCCTGGCCCTTTGCCTCCTGGGTCCTCTGTCCCCACTTCTGATCTCTGCCTCTGCCAGAGCTAATATTTAGCAAATTGGATCAGTGGAGGCCCTTAGGATAAATGATGGAGCAGGGGAAGACATAAGGTGACTTGCAGTTGGTAGCGAGGGAGAGCACCCAGAACCTCATTCTCAGAAACTCACCATCAATAAAGCTAGGGTCTACTGTAATATGCTAGGTTGTGCCAACTCTTTTCAATCTCCAAGTAATCCCAGAGGAGGATCGGTGGTCCCTAGGACTGGGGTGAGTCCCCAAGGGCTATAGTGAGGGGAGGAAGAAGAGGGGCCACTGAATCCTGTTGCTGGAAGGGATGACCTCAGTCAGTATCCCAAGCTTGAGTTATTTATACTGCCTCCTTGAGATGATTGCTCAAGCTTGAGTCTGCCTCCTTGAGACGATTGCTCATGTGCCCTGGAAATTGTCAGGAGCATGGGCTCCTTCCTGGGTATGCCTTGGCAGAGCATTGCCCATGGAACTTAGTGTGTAAGGGTTCATGATTCGCTGGAGAATGATACCCCAGACTCACCCTGGACTCAAATAGTAAGTAAATGCAAAGAGTGTATTATTCTGCAGAAGTCCAGCAATCTGGGGTCTTCCATTACCAGAATAGAGAGACACCCAAGTGAGCTTGCAGAGCTGATTTAAAGCACCTTAGGGAGTACTAGGTTAATCTGTTGGGTCCATCTCTACGGACATTCCATTATCAGGGTGTGGGGGCTGGAAACTTGCTGAGGGAGGTCTGGAAATTGCTGCTCATCCATTGTCCTTGCTTCAGGGAAGGTGGTAGGGCAGCTTCTGAGGCCTGGAGTTGCCTGGAATTGCCCAGTTCTTGGAAACAGAGATTAAGCCTAGTCTTCTTAACTGCGAATTTGAAGCCTGTCATGAAATCAGCCTAACCTTCTCAAGTGCAGACACTTGGTCCAGTAAGCAGATCCAGAGTTTACTGGGATAGCCTGGGTACCTTCTGAAGATTAATGAATAGCTTGGAAGCTCTGGTCCTGGGATCTCTGAGCACAAGCT